TGTTTACAATTTTTGTTGCCAACATAAAGTAATTACAGAAACTTTTGTCAACAACACGTGTTGACAAAATTAAAGTTGTCAATTTTTCTTTGGTTGAGACCTGGCATTAGGTGTGGTGAGGTCACGGGGAACAGGTGAGTTGGCGCGCGCAAGCAGCGTGCCCGGCAAATAATTTATGCTTGCGATTACGACAGTAGTTATTTGGTACAAAAAATTGACACAGTTCGGCATTCAGATCTAGAGCGTTTATCTTCCTTCGAATTATTTTACATGCCATGATAGCTTCTTGATACACTCGTCATACTTGAAATGAATTGTAACTCAGAGAACCGAGGAGATATTTGGTGCGATATAAATATGGATAGTATTAGTATCTATAAAGGCGCTTGTAGAGATATATTAAGGGGCTACTCCATGCGAACGACCTTGAGCATTTGACCGGCGCGCCGTTCGCTACAATATTAATACGAGTATATTGTAGCGAGCGGCTCGCCGGAAGAAATATGTAAGACGCCACCTATTGTACGAAAGTAGTATTATTTTTTCAACATCAATAAACTGTTTTATGGAAATACACATAGCGTACAAAGATAAATGTATTTTAATTTTTTTATTCTGTATATATTAGTTGCATTATATTAGAATTATGTATTTTCATATATTATCTAATTATGAAATTTTATAATTAATTATATAAACGGAAGCATTGAAAATTGTGAGTTTAAAAGATACCTATTCACTATAGGTAAATAAATAGATAACTCGGCTTTTGTACAAATATTTGGTGCAATAAAAAATATATAAATACAAAAATCAACAAGAAGTATAAGGGTTCAATCTTTCAATTTCAGTTGTAAAAAAACATTACACCCACACTAGGATTTTCTCCTGTGTCGTGGAGGCAGTTTACAAACATAAATTGCACAAAGACAAACATCCAGACCCGGAACAATTATTTGTAGGCCATACAAATCTTGTTCCATGCGGGATTCGAACCCGCGGCCCCCAGCGCAACAACTGATTGCTAAGCCACTGCGCCACCATGAAGCTAATACAAAGACTAACTTTGTATTTGCTTCATGGTCGTCGGGTTATAGCTAAAGTGACCATACGTCCCGTTTTGAACGGGACTGTCCCTTTTCTCGGTCTCCTGTCCCATTGTCCCCAAACAAAGCACCGGGACACAAAATTGTCCCGTAACTCGTTGGATGGAAGTATTCAAAGTCAACAATCTTCAACATAATTTTTTTTAATCGAATATATTTTATGTCTACCTGGTACGAATGCTCCGGTAGAAAGAGTATTTTTTTATTTTGCATAAATTGTGGACGTCTGAAAGAAACACTTACGGTTCCAGAGTTCTAAAGGCGATGTTGTTAACAAAGATAACAATAAAAATCTTGAGCAGAATTTTATTCTTATTTAAAATCATCACCAACTTTATTAAAGCAAATTTAATCCACTGACAAATGTAATTAATAATTAAAAAAAATATGTTGCATTTAATAATTACCGTCTATACCGAATATAATTTTATAGTGAACACTAATTGTATAAAGTTATAGTTTTTAGAGTATAAATAAACCCATGTCCTGTTATGAGTTAAAAAATAAATGGTCAGCTTAGTCATTTTAGTTAAATTTAGTTTTAAAATTTTTTAGTTTATAGTAAAAAGTAGGTATATTAGTACTTTTTACCGAGATATAAGTATAGAACACCTTATGTACTCAATTATTTTTTGAAAAAGAAGAAAAAACAAGCAATAAATAATATACTATATTTTAGCAAAAAACTATAACTTAGTAATACTAATTATAACTTAGAACATAAATGAAAAACTCATAACTGACTTTTTGGCCCAACCCAGGATTCGAACCCGGGACCTCATGATCAGCAGTCGCACTACTACAACCACTAGACCAACGAGGCAGTAGTATACCTGATAAGATATTGTGGTTGGGTGATAATATTGAATTAGCCTTTTATAGTGTAAATTATTATATTTGTCGAAATTTTAATTATGGATTCGAACCTTACATGCTAATGGTGCTTCATTTTTTTATTTGCATTTACTTCAAAGAAAATACACGCAAAAATCTTCATCGCGCAGTAAAAAACACAACAAATATATGTATAACTAATACGAAAAATTATACCCAAAACAAACAAATAATACTACCTATAAATAACCTAATAAGTAATAATATTATCGACTCATATGACGTGGCGTATGCGTCGGTTGACGCTCTAACGACACGGGCTTCCCGTCGAAGAGCTCAGCGCTCACTGACTTCATCAAGCCCGTGAGCAGTATATACGCCCAGATTTTAAAATAATTTCTTAATAAAATCAAATTTTGGTCTTTTGAAAAAAATTTTACTATAGAAATGTTCATTAATAAATTGCCTATCCATTGGTGTAAATCGCAAAACAAAATAATACTTACTTTACGAGGAGATGCATGTTATCAATAATAATTTCACATTTATGTGGTTTCGTTGTAAGGAGATTATATTAATATGTATTCCTTTAAAAAAAAATTGGATATAGCTTTTATGGAATCAAGATTATGTAGAAATATAATGTGTTTTTTATTTGTTGATATATCTTTTAAATAAAAAGTAGATAGCTCCTAAAAACCGCCCAAATAACCACTAGCGCGACATTTTGCTCAACCTGCGCCTTAAGGTGAAAGCTACAGGGTGGCCCGCAAAATTCAAAATTTCTTATGTTTTTTGCACTTTGCAGGTCAGGGTCAGGTTGAATGTTTAACAAAATATGATTCGCGACCGTAACGAGTATGTGTTTACAGAATTATTATTATTAAAATCACCAATACAACCCTCCAAGTTCATATTAATTCTTTTGAAAGAGTTTTTCTGGAAATAGCCACACAATAGAATTATACGAACTTAGGGGGTTGTATTGATGATTATAATGATTATAATTCTGTAAATACATACTCGCTACGGTCGCAAATCATATTTTGTTAAACATACGACCTGACACTGACCTGCAAATTGCAAAAAACGTAAGAAAATTTGAATCTCGTGGGCTACCCTGGCGCTTTCACCTTAAAAAGACCTTTTGGACATCTTCCAAAAGAAAAATATAAGGGCTTTCATACGAATTCCAAACGCAACAACTAGTTTCGAGTTTTGAGCGTACCAGAGCACTGAAATATTACGCTATCGTTACGAAACTCTTTAACATTTTTGAGAACAAATTCCAAACGTTTGTATGATTCCTTAGCTAAAGTTATTATATGAGCGTGGACTTTGAGCTTTCGATAAAATATAACCCCTAGGTCTTTTATAGTCTTTTATAGTGTCAGTCCGAGTCATAGCATGATTATTGATTTTATTATCGTAACCAATTCCCTATCTCCCCCCCCCCCCCCCGAACGGGTTCCTGGCTTGTAGTGGCGGGGGGAGGGGCTTAGTAGCCGTGGCTTGGTCACCCGCGGAGAACAAAGGGGAACCCTTTGGCTTGCCCGTGGTGTAGGGCCGGCCCGAGGTGGCCACTCCGAGTGGGCTTGGCGAGCCCACTTCAGATGTGTGTCGGTCGGCTGCTGTGAGAATGGTGTTCTGTCCTCCTACCGCTGCAGCCGAGGTGGAGTTGTGGAGGAGGAGGAATGTTGGTATGGCGATACGCCACTCGCCCTATCCTCCGCGACTCTGACGGGGCCGCACCGTTGATGCGGTGGTGGCGGGGCCGCGGGGGGAGAGGAGTGTCGGTATTGCAAGGCGCCGCTCCCCCTACTCTCCGCGGCCGAAACTTGGTTGGCGGCGGAGCCAGAGACCAGATCCGCCGCTGGGGTCGGGAAAGCGGGTGCTACTTAGCGCTCGATTTTCCTGGCCCCATGGCCGGACTCGGAGGTGTCCCATACACAGGTGGAGTTGGAGGCCGTAGAGGGGGGCGTGCCTTGCATTCCTGGTGCGCCTTGCCTGAGAAGGGGAATGGGGAGGAGAGGTCCTCCCGAGAAGGGGCTGCCATAGGGCGGCCGGCGCTGGTGAGACCACGGATGTGTGCTAAAGCGTTCCCGTGGCCCTGCCAATATGCGGCGAAGGTGGAACACCATGGGGTTTTAGTCGGTGTGAATCCGACATAACCCGCCCTTGACCCCGCGAGGCGGGTATGCGTAGGCATTTCCCTGTGTAAAAAAAAGATTCCCTATCTTACAACAGCTTATCACCGTGGGACATTGAATAACACTTATTCAGGATAAACTCCAAGTTAAGGTGACTTTCGTCAGGCGAGTTCCATGAACATGTAGATCTTCCATTGGGAAGGGATAATAATCTTTGAATGGCTTACGAGATTTTCAAAGTGATTTATACATTATAAAATCAAAGCGGGTGGGCCATCAAGCTGACCCCGATATATCGAAAATTAGATTTTCAATAAAAATTAAAAGGCGACTTCAAAAACTAAATTATTTACTTGTGAATGCTTTTTTATAGCATAAGGGTGTTAAGTGAGCACACAGTCATCCACATATATCTTCGTTTGTGAATCAAAATGCAGATGCGTTGTCAGCCATGAGGACTAGGATGGAATGCCTCTATTCCAGTAAAAAAGGTCTCCGGTACTCTACACTCAGTATACGAAACACAGCAGCATTAAGTTGCTATTTTACGCTGGTATTCTGTAAGAGCGTGGTCCTTTCCCGGTCGAGCCGACCCATTCGTGCTACAACTACACAAATAATATAACTGCAGCATGAGTCTACAACGTTTATAGCTACACGTTTAAGGCTACCCTACCTAGGTACTTTACTTTGGCATTTTTTTGGTACTAATTTCCGTAAACTATAGCATATTTTTGGCATGTCTAAATATGGCATAAAATATTTTTTAGTGCTGGCAGCACTTTTTCTATTATGTCATTTTAGTTTTTTATCTGTATGATTTCAATTCAACACAATTTTTGCGGGTTTTTTTCTTACAAAGCCGGCGGTTTTATTAAAGTTGTTTTGTTATTGTTTAGAAGTGCCTAAAATGGATTTTAATAATACAGGCGGAATGAGAAGTCCTTTCTCACCTAGGGTAAAGCAGTCTATTACAGGAAGAAGACCTATTGGACTTTCATCTGCAAAAAAAACTCAAAGGTAAAATTTTCGGGTACTTAACCTCTATTAATATTTATATTTTGGTTACATAGTTATTTTGTTTATTATTTTTACAAGTCCATTGTCATAATAAGTCATATTGTACTTGTACGTAAACTTTTATTATTATTATATATTATTTTGTCCAGTTCATTTAATTTATTTATCTTTTTGCAGTAATTATATGCAGTCACCTGGTGGGCTGCAGAGTGGAGATGTTATTTATAAAACTCCTTCGATGACATTAGAAACCTATGGTCTACCTTTACCAGTAATGGTGACAGAAGCGCTTACTTTTGGTAAGTCAATTGAAATGGAAACTTTGTTTTTTATATTGGATAAGGGTAAGAAACGAGCATATTGTCCAACTGATGGTAAGTGGTTGCTGTGCCCCATAGATATCTACATCTATCCTCTATTACAAATCGAAATGCAGATGCATCGTCACCAGTGAGGACTAAGATGGAATGCCTTATTTCCAGTAAAAAGGGTCTTGGGTTCTCTACACTCACCATACAAAACACAGCAGTGTTAAGGTGCTATTTTGCACTGGTATTCTGTGAGAGTGTGGTCCTTCCCTGGTCAAGCTGACCCATTCGTGCAACAACTATATCAGTAATATAGCTGCAGCATGGCTACACCATGTAAAAAATGAATGATTTTGAACATGAAGTGCCAGTCCATTATTGCCTTTAAATGCTGGCATGCTAGATATACAGTCATCATTTCTTGGCTCTTTATGAAATTTTAGGTGTCGGCATATTCAAGTGCTTAATTATAGTCCACTAGACTATGACATAGTCTGGTACTATCTGCTTTAATACCAAATCAAATGTGCCCTTTTCAACCGACTTCAAAAAAAGGAGGAGGTTCTCAAAATGACTATTTTTTGTGTGATACTTCAGATTTTTTTTCTAGGTGAACTGGTTTTGATGATTCTTTTTTTTATTTAAAAGCTGGTATTTCTCATGTGGTCCCATATAAATTTGATGAAGATCCTACCACTAGTTTTTGAGTTATCCTTAATAATGCATATTTAATTGACTTTGTATTGATGATGACTCTCACTTTATTTATATTGATGTTAAAAGTTAAAGTTTAGAGCCAAGGCGGTATCAGAGGCAGCTGAACTGAGTAAGTGGTGCAAATATAAGTCTGAGGGATGACTACATATTTGTGCCATTTGCTGTAGAGACTATTGGTCTGTGGGGTCGTCGTGCAGTGAAGTTCCTAAAGGGACTCCATCCACGGCGGGTCTTTGCTGCTGGTGATAAGAGGGCTGGTTCTTTTCTCGCTCAAAGGCTTAGTATAGCCAATCAGAGGGGAAACACAGCCAGCGTTCCCAGGTGTTGTCAGGGGAGTAGGACTGTATGATAATTAAGTTACAAGTTTTAGTTTTTTTTTTATAGATTTTAATATTGTATATAATAAGAGTTAAAGTTACAGCCTATATACGTCCCACTGCTGGGCGCAGGCCTCCTCTCATTTTTGAGATGGCTTTAGGGCAAGGAAGTATCCGCCACGCTGCCCAAATGCATGTTGGCAAACTTCACATGTCTTTGAAATACGTTTTTTCGTATTTCTCAGACATACAGGTTTCCTAACAATGTTTTCCTTCACTGCCGAGCATGTGGTAAATCAGCACTTAAGATTGCAATTAACAATGTCATTTGTGCCGACGGGGACTTATCCCGGGTTACTCGCGTACTGTGAAATTTACCATGAGCGCCAACCATCTGAGCTACCACGGCTCTATTGATATTGGTTGTACAAAATTTTTAATTTTACGACATGTTTAGTTACATGCTTTTACAATTTGTGCTTTAACAATTTCACTGCAATGATCTGGTATAAAGCAAGATGTAGATTAGTATGATGTATCCAAAACAAGTTCAAAATTTATTTCAGCTATTGAATCATGAAATATTGCATTTTACCCCATATTTAACTTTATTAAAAACATAAAAAACACGTATTTTATTACTTTTTAGGGTTCCGTAGCCAAATGGCAAAAAATGGAACCCTTACGGATTCGTCATGTCTGTCTGTATGTCCGTCCGTATGTCACAGCCACTTTTTTCCGAAACTATAAGAACTATGCTGTTGAAACTTGGTAAGTAGATGTATTATGTGAACCGCATTAAGATTTTCACACAAAAATAAATAAAAAAACAATAAACTTTGGGGGTTCCCCATACTTAGAACTGAAACTCAAAAATTTGTTTTCATCAAACCCATACGTGTGGGGTATCTATGCATAGGTCTCCAAAAAAGATATTGAGGTTTTTATTATAATTTTTTTCTAAACTGGATAGTTTGCGCGAGAGACACTTCCAAAGTGGTAAACTGTGTCCCCCCACCCCCTCTGTAACTTCTAAAATAAGAGAATGATCAAAATAAAAATAATATATGATGTACCATGTAAACTTCCACTGAAAATTGGTTTGAACGAGATCTAGTAAGTAGTTTTTTTTAATACGTCATAAATCATAAGCCGCAATTTACCTTTCATTCAATCATCTCAAATATAAATATATAATAAATCTGTAAAAGTTGTCTAAGTCAATAATAATTATAATACGCGCGGGGCGGTGTTTGATCGGTTGTAGACGTCGTTGACACTCGTGCTCGCGGAGCTAATTTTTCGATACATTTGCGAATGCTAAATATTGTACGTTTACGATTTGATACTGTTTTAGTTGGATAAAATTAATTTCAATTACTTACATCGAAATTATCTTGCTGCTACGGAACCCTTCATGAGCAAGTCCGACTCGCACTTGGCCGGCTTTTTGTAAGACGTAATCCTTTTGTTATTCAATTTATTGTTAAACATTACTAGCAATAATATTACAAGGTTTCTATAAATTTACCAGTTTTATTTTTGGGCATTTTAGGTTCCAATATAATTTTTAATATGATTTTCATAGTAATAAAAAAAAAACCATCTAACTGCTGCAATGTTATAGTTTTGAAAATAAAATGTACAATTGAAAATTCATGCATGCTTTTTAAATATTTTATCACCAATTTAAGTCAAATCAATAGTGTATATGGTCCAAATGAAGTATACCATGCATCTTTGATTTGATCATAGACAGTTTTTAATTTTTTAGCTGGACCTGGAGATCACCACACAAACTATACTCAGCAATCCTTTTATAAAGGCCTCTCATTTTTTTTTAAATGTGGGCATTGATAGCAAGAGAATTTGATTCTAAAGTAGCTTATTCTTAATATGCATAAAATTCACCTAGGTTAGGGCAGTGTAATTTGAGAGCTCTTTTTTCCAGCATTGGGACAAAAAAGTTAATTTTTGGTCCTATTTCATGATATACTTTGCCTCTCACCAAAAATCAATCAAATCTAATCTTAAATTCATTTTGAGTCATAAATATTTAAAAGTGTAAACTTAAACTTTTATAATATTAGCCAAAAATAAAATTGATTAGGGTCTTGAAGAATTCAACAATATTTGTCAGCTGGCAGTGAAGTAGCAACAGTGAGTAAATAATGTAAGACAATTTTTGATATAATCAAATAAATATTTATATAATCAAGGAAAATAAGTTTGATGTAGTTTCTCTTATAAAATGTTACGAAATTACGGATATCATGTATATTAATTTAAAATTATGAAACAGAAGATGGGTATTATTTTATAAAATGTTCTTAAAATAGAATGCTTTTAATTGCACTATACGAGTATATAAAGGCTTGGAGATATAAAATAATTACAAACATGAAACATTTTGTAGGTCTTCTTAATAACTGGTGGTAAATATGAGTGCAAATAAATGTTAAATATTTAGAACTTCTTTCTTCTCTCAACTATGTTGAGACAACTAGATTAGTTTATTTTAGTTACTTTCATAACATAATGTCTTATGGAATTTAAATATTACTCCATAGCAAAATTCCATAAAAGTATTAATATTGCAAAAGATAGTTGTACAGGTGATTTATAACTTAAATTGTAAAGACTCCCTCAAAGAAAAATTTAAAGAAATAAACATATTAACTTTGGCATCACAATGTATTTACGAAAATGTAATCTACTCGTATGTACATAAAAAAATAAATAGCTTTGATAAGAATAAAGATGTTCATACTTTAAAAATTAAGAACAAACATAAGCTGGTAACACTAGTTACTGGACTCTACAGAATTAGTAATTCATTTAATAGCAGCTGTGAGTGTAGAGAACCAGGAACCCTTTTTACTAGATACAAGGTGTTCCATCTCAGTCCTCAGGGGTGACAATGCACCTGGATTTTTATTTTTAATTGAGGATAAATGTAGATGTCTATGGGCCACAGTGTCCACCATCAGGTGAACTGTGTTAGTTAGTTACTTATTTAGTCGTATTTTCAAAAATTGCAATAACGATATATCATTATTTATACATATATTTAAAGTTAAGTTTAATATTTGGCTACTCTTTGAAAATTAACCCTGTATTGTTTTGTTTTGTAAATGTTACAAGCATATTTATATTTTATTAATTATGAATAAATTGCACAGCGAGTGGAGAAGTAAGCGCGCGCATGTCTTCGTGCGGCTGGTGCTGGGTAGTGGCTGGACGAAGACTGCTCACTTGGCCGTACCAACCTGCCCTTGCTGCCGCTGCCCGGGAGCTAACATTACCACAAACAGATCTTGCACACAAGGCTGATCTTGTTGTAGTATTCTATGAAAATGATGCTCAGGTACAAATTATATACTTATTATATGTAGTAAAACACTTACAGGTACTTTCATATACATATAGACAAAAACTCTGTCTTTTTTATAAGACAAGGGTGAAAAACGAGCTCACAGTCCACGTGATGGTAAGCGGTTGCTGTAGCGGTCCATAGAATTCTACTTCTACCCTCGATTACAAATCAAAATGCAGATGCGTCGTCACCCGTGAGGACTAAGATGGAATGCCTCGTTTCCAGTAAAAAGGGTCTCCAGTTCTCTACACTCACCATACGAAACACAGCAGCGTTAAGCTGCTATTTTACGCTGGTATTCCGTGAGAATGTGGTCCTTCCCCGGTTGAGCCAACCCATTCGTGCTACAACTATACTACTAACATAGCTATAGCATGGCTCTACCACGTAAAATACCTGTAGATTGTCAGAGTCAAATTTTAATTAAGTCAGGCAGCCAGAGCCAGCTTGGTATATTCATTTACATTTGTGTTTCGGAGATGCAACAGTTCTGGTATGGCCAAAGCCTCCTTTTCCTCTCTCATTTTTACATATATATTTTTTAAATCAGGAAAATTAGTATTATGGATTCAGGAACCTTAATAATTGTTATAAAAATATGCTGTTGATATTTATTGAACTTAAATTTCCACTATTTAATCCAGCTGCCATCATGCATTGGCGTCTCACCAGAGGGTGTTGTCCGCTACTGGCCATGCGTGGGTCAAGAAGGCGTGTATGTGGATGTATCGGCTGAACTTGCCGGTCAGGAGTGCGAGCGACTCGGCGAACCGACGCGAAGTGGCTTAGTGCTTGCAACAACTACTTGTACTGTTGTGTTGCTTACATCTACGGTTATAGGTAAGTTTGCTGCAATGTGTATCATATTGTGTTTTAATTGTAAATTAATTAAAAAATCTATGATTGGTTTCCAGATGGTCGTCCAACTGTGACTTGCCGGACTTTACGGCCGCCTAGTGGCTGGCTTGGAGGCATTGGACGGCGGGTTTCTTTACTTTTCTTTGGATCTATGCCAGCCCATGCTGATACAGTAAGTAAAATTCGGCTTAGCTTTCCATTGACGTCCGTCGAGTTGGGTGTTGATACGCATTTTTACAGAAAAGTTACACTATTATAAGCACACACACAAAGTTCCTCCGCAGCTTCGGCTTGTTGGTCGCCTTCGGCGACCAGCCTCAGCCGCTCCGGCTCGTCCGATGCCTACGATTTGTTACGCTAAGGCGTAGAGGCTGCTCTTCCCGCAGCGCCGGAGACGTAGCAGTCTCAAAATAGATACAGAAATCCTTCTGAATCAGCCCCCTTATTTTTTTACGATGAAAGGAATTTTTTTCTCATAAAATGGATTTACATTTACGTTATAAATGCAAACATGAAAAAATATAGATATTTTAGAAATCGATTTTTCTGGAATCGATACATTAGCTTACAATTCGAATCTATTTAAAGAATCGATCTTTTTCGGAAAGAATCGACATCCCTACTGACAACAATAATAAAAAATGGCGTCAGTTTCACGGTAGGAATTGACATAAATATTGCAAAAGTATTTGATTTTCAATATTTTTTTCTCAATAAGTACGTGTTTCCGCATATTGAAACTTTGTGTGTGTGGTTATAAAAATGTAATCTTTCTGTAAAAATACGTATCAACACCAAACTCGACGGACGTCAATGGAAAGTCGTACCTTTTTTTAATACTTATTCTGGACACCCGCTATTCGGGACACCGGGTCAGCTAGTAAGATTATGTCAAAAAATAAAAATTATAAAACACTTAAAATTCTTTTAATAGTCACTAAAAATCACAATGATAATTACAATTTCTGATTTCTTATTATGATACCTACACAAATATTGACATTAATGTTAAAACACACTTAAACTTTATGGTATGGTATTAAAGTTCAAATTGACTTTTAAGTATTATTACGAAATATTAAATTTCACGAACGTACATCGCGGCAGAACTCCCGATACCATCCACACCATCTGGATGATTGGCGGTCCACCACTGTGCGATTTAGAAGATGTTTTCTTCCTCGCACGACTTCCTTGTGGAATCGATTACCATCAGCGATTTTTCCGGACCGATACGACTTAGGGACCTTCAAAAAAAGAGCGTACTCCTTTTTAAAAGGCTGGCAACGCATCTGCGATTCCCTCCCTGGTGTTGCAGCTGTTCATGGGCGGCGGTAGTCACTTACCATCAGGTGAGCCGCATGCTCGTTTGCACCCTCTCCTATAAAAAAAATTATATGCACGCATCTCTACATAACGGCAGTAACAATGACCAAAGAAAAAACTTTTCGCTTTATAGAGCCCTACCAAGCCGCAAATTGTATGTGAAACACAAGTCTTTTTAAAAAAAAACGTTACCCCCACACTAGGATTTTCTCCTGTATCGTGGAGGCAGTTTAGAAACATAAATTGCATAAGGACAAACATCCAGACTCGGAGCAATTATTTGCAGGCTATACAAATACTTGTTCCGTGCGGGATTCGAACCCGCGGCCCCCAGCGCAGTAACTCATTGCTAAGCCACTACGCCACGGAGCCGCCAAGAAATAAAATTTCTTTTTTTTTCATTTCTTTTTGATCACCCTTTTCTTATACACATTCACGTTGTAGTGATTGATGTATTAATTTATTTATTGATGTATTAATTGATTTATTGATATATTAATGCTAGGAGACTAGGTAAGATATTAAAATCAAATTAAAAGTTAGGATACTAAAATCATGTTTTTACTGTCTTTATTATTCCCTATTAGTTAGGTACTTTATTTCCTTAATAATACTGTAATTTTTAGCTATGGAAGAGCGAAGTCACCTGTTACAGGCATTATTTTGCTTACTATAGTCCGGCCGCTGAGTTATTACCGATTTGACACATGACGAATTGACAATACTAGTGAAGTGACTGAACCAGTAACCCTAATATCATTTGGGAACAGTTTGTTTTTAAATATTCTAGTATAGTGTGTAATTAAATAAAATCAAAACAATAATAGTTAAAGACACAGGTTCTTTATTAGGTGGAGTATCCTTGATGGGCGTAGATAATTGGTCGAGGACATATCAAAATAAAACAAATTTGTAAACACTGTTACACATTTTAATGAATAGAGTAGGTACAAGATGTTTTAATAAATGACTACCTATCATTTATTAAAACAATTATTCAGACTCTGAACCAGATTCGCCAGAGCTGTCATCGCTATCAGTCACTTGTATGACAATTTCATTATCTATAATGGTGTCCACTCTTATATCGCGTTCATAATCTTCTGTTATTAGTTTTAGAGTCTTTTCGACGACCTTGACCCAAACTTCTTTCGTTATTTTGCTGCAAGCATCTTTTAATAGACCCATCATTTTATTAGTACTGAATGGCAGAGTCGTATTATTACAAGCTGCCGTAACCTGTAATGTAAACATTAAATAACGTTAATTTATTACATTAAATAAACGAAATGTTACACAATTACCTACATGTAAGGGACATGAGATATTTATTTCTTAGTTATGTATCTTTTTACTTATATGCTGAATATTGGATGTTATAATAGTACAAATTATTCATATTCATAACTTATGCGATAAAAAACAATACCTTTGATTTGTGCCCATATTAGCTCAATGGCATTGTACTGGCAGTGATAAGGCGGAATTCGAAGTACCCGATGTCCATGTGCTAGAGCTATCTCATCTACTTCATAACGGCCTCTTGATGTTTTATTTTCGCGTACCAACTTTACTAAGTCAGACTTTAGCATTTCGGCAGTAGTTTCAAATCCATTTTGGTGTAGCCATGCTACGAGATCAGCTTTCTTGTCGGCCTGAGTAGGCGCTTTATTCACTTATTTCGAGTGATATGAAGCGTTGTCCATTATTATGATAGAAGGCTCTGGCAGGCTGGGTAATAATTGATTTTCGAACCAATTCGTAAAAGTGTCTGTATCCATCTCCTCGTGGTAATCGGAAGTACTTTTTGACGCGAAAGCCAGCAGTCCATTTTCAAAGAAACCACTTTCAGCAGAACCGGCGTGACAAATTATCAGTCGCGATCCTTTTCCAATTGGAACCTTTGAGGTTGATGCTTTTGTTTCGTCAGTCCAAGAGCGTGACACAGTGTGGTTCGCAAAGTTCGTAAATTATTCTAAGTCCTAATATTAACATGCACACAAATTGACAAATACTAAAATAAACTAAGTCTAAAATTGTCATTAAAATTTTACAAGTCCAAGATAGTTCTTCACCTTTTCAAAGTTTAAATTGACGTTAGAATAGAGTTCAAATTCACTCGATTTGTGGACGATGTATATAAACAAATTTTACTCACGAAACTGTACTTCACACAAACACCTTTGAACATGCAAGTGGCGCCCCCTGTGGCTGCCAGCTGTACTGCGCGTGACGTCCTCTGTGACGTCGTGTGATGGCTGCGCCTGCGTCACCTTGCTGCGTCGTCTGGGGTGTTGATCTGAGAGTGGCGCCCTCTGGTGGCCACTCCTTGAACTAATCCGCTAAAGCTGGCTCAGCTCACCGCCTATGCTGGGTGAAGCTGTCGCCGCTGGTGCGGAGGACTCGTGTACCTCTCTGTAGCGATCCACTACAAGTACACGGAGAAGCGGGCCAGCGGTGGCCGCCTTGAACTCAAAAGGCCTGTCCAAACGATCCGGCTCGTATGGGCCAATGTTTAGTTACCGGGTGGTATTTGGGGGAGATTAAGTTGACCTGAACTGTAGCAAGCGGGAATTTTAAATAAAAGACCACAACTGCGTACTGATCTCGGAGTCGATCCCCGATTCGATCTCGTTTATTGAAAATAAATCGCATAGACCTATTCAAATTGCGGAAGCCAAACGCTAACGACTTCTAATTCGAAGCCAACGCCATCTATCGAAGACGTTGGAAGCTTTACAAAATGTTAAGTTACAAACAACCATGTTTCGTCAACAAAAACGACGTTGTCCCAAGACTCGATTTTTCTGGCTTCTCTTAAAAACTCGCTCCTTTTAATTATTAAATCAAATCTTTCCATTAATATTTTCCTTTTATTCGTTTTTTTATATTCAAACCCAATTTCGTGCAATAGTTTTGACAACGCCGTTTGACCGCCTTTAAACAAGCCAGCTTCTTTTAAAGAGACCAAAAGCAAACGTCTAGTTGGAAACTCGTTCCTAGTATAATAACCATATATGTGGTTTCTTATTGCATCTGCATCAAAAACATCAACACCTGTCACGGGCTTTTGTCTTCGTTTTTTCTTAGGAGTGCGTAAAACATTATCTTCACTTCCAGAAGCACCAAATTTTTTTTTATGTATATTATATAGTGTTTTTGCACCAATTCCAAGAGCTTGTGAAACCCGATCTTTCACTTGAGTGACAGGAATCAAAGGGCCGCCATTTTGTGACTCACGCACAAAGTAATCCTGTAGCTTTAGTACAAGCTCACGACATTGACTATTCAATGTTTTTCCTCGTTTCGGCATTTTGAACAAAATTACCAAACACAAACAAAATTAGTCCAATAAAGCGCAACGATAAACAGGAGAAAGCCGAGTCAAAAAACAACGGTTACACAAGAGAACGTAGTCTGTGCGCACGAGAGTACGGAAGACGACTAAACAGATTAAAATAGCGGTGGTAAGGGTGTTGCCAGAATAGTATCGCCACTTACTTAAAAAAATACACCTATAACATTGCTTAATTGAGGGAGAAAATTATATTTATTAAATGTTGTTTTATATATTATGAATGTTAAAAATTATACATAATCATTTTAATTGTATTTATTTTTAAATCATAGAAAACAGTATTTCTGTCTTTGGATCACACATAAATCTTAAAAATCATAGAGATGCTGGCAACATAGTGCAATTAGGAGACGCAAAAAAATGGTAGTAATATAGTCTAGTTGCTCGAAGGAATAAGTAAAATAAAAATATCCAAATAAAATAAATATCACATCTATTCCAATGAATTCGGACCGAATACTATCAAGCACATCACTATGAAAACTAGACGCACGATGTAACTTTGTACAAGCGCGCCAAAGAACAAAAAATAAATGTTTTCATATTATTTACAAACTATTTTAAGTTTTGAAACAGAGTTTATTGGAAAATTACTTGATTATGACATTTTGACATAAAGTTTTATATTAAAGAGGTATTCTAAATCATTCGGTAAATGTGTCGCTCGTGCAAGGTTATATCGATTAATTTAAGAATAATCTGTCAAATCGGTAATAACTCAGCGGCCGTACTATAGGTGACCTCGATCACTGATCATATAATGTAACTTTAATGTTTGACGAAATAAATTATTTATTATTATTATTATTATTATTAAGTTTGCCATATGTACTACTTTGTGCATGAAAGTGTAAATAAATAAATATATTCTATAATTATATAATAACCCTTTTTTAAAAAGGTTTTGTTTAATAAAAAATTTGCAACAGTTTCATAGACAGGCTTCGAATATTTTCCAGGCCTTAGTTAATTATACCTATTCCTAGGTGTGTTAATGTTTATATAGTTTACTTATCTGTATAACGTTAGTGTATAATAAAGAAATATTAAAATTTTATATTAAAAATATTAAATATTAAAAATAGTGCAAATTAAATAAAAAATAGTGGTATGCTGTGAATAAATACCGCAACAGCCGTTAGCGCTTCAATAATCATTTTAATAAATTCGTCCGCACATTGGCCTGAACCGAAGCAAACTGAACGACCTTCCAACGTGTGGACGCGATCACAATTTCTTGGCTAATAACTCTGCCAACACATTCGCCACTATATTGGCCAACGTGAAGAGCCGCCATTATACGACACCAACGAGAACATATAGGGTAGTGGATATTCTCACATTGCTACTAGTAGTACTACATAGTAAAACGAAAACAACAAAATTCTTAATAAAATTAGAAAAAAGAAGTATTTTTATATCGATATCAGTATCACTTATTGGGTCCAATTGTGAATCTAAATTCTAAACCATCCAAGGTACTACACACATAAAATTGATTAAAATCGGTGGAGCCGTTTAGCAGTAGTACAGTGACAAATACATATACAGAAGAATTATATTAATAAAGGTTAATTCTTATATAGCGCGAAATTAGAATCGTCGTAGAAATTAAACACGATGAAATTCGTTGTTTTGTTCTTTTTAGCGCGTTCGACTTTTGCCATCATTTGGTGTAGAGTGCCGTCGAAAGTGTAAGGTTTGTGTGCGCAGAGGCTGGTGGGCGTGGTGATGCTGAGCGAGTGTGCTGGTGGTGAGGAGGGCGAGGGTGCGGGCGACGGCGAGAGCGTGGGCGCGGGGGAGTGCTGCGCGCTGGTGGCGGGCGGGCCGCTGCTGCAGCTGTGGCGCGGCGCCGAGCTGGCCGACCTGCACGAGCACCACCTGCGCCGCACGCTCTGCGCACACCTCGCGCCGCAGGGTGAGCACGCACACACGCACGCACGCACACACAAACGCACACACGCACGCACGCACACACAAACGCACACACGCACGCACGCACGCACACACTCACGCACGCACACACGCACACACACACACACATACACACACACACACACACACACACATACACACACACTTTTTTACAACTTTGAGCGGATGTAGTTTAATGTATATCACAATTTCAATATTGTCTAGATATTGAAAGCTTCGTCCACACTTAGGAGTGAAATTTTTTCTTTATTTTATGTAAGAAGTACCTAAAATGTTATAGCTTTATTATATTTTACAGGTGACCTAAACAGCCTTGAGATAATGGCCTTGGATGTCCATGCTAGTGGTCCAAACAGTATCCTGCTGCTTATTGCATCGGTCAATGTCGCCAGATCGCCTGAGAAGAGATATGCAATTGGTGAGTAAATTAAATCTTTATCATCATCATCACCACCGCCACCATCACCCTCACCATCATCACCACCACTACCACCATCATTATCACATCCCTTCACAAGTCCTCAGCTGAACATAGGCATTCCCTTGCCTATGCTCAGCAGTGGAATTGGGAATCCAAGTAATACCACAAAGCACAGTCCTAAATCTCTTATAACTTTGTAGAATTTGTCTCAATTGTTTTACATTTTATAAGTTCTCATCTTATAATTGCTGTGCGTTTGTAAAATTATTTATATATTTTATTTGTTAATTAGTTTAACATAGTACAAGTCGCGGCACGAAGTCTAGCGCTGAACGAAACGGAGGGAACGCGCACGAATTGAATTGCACGAATGCGACTGGAGAGCCAATGAGAACGATACGCACGAGCCAATCAGTGCGACTTATGCGTAATAAGCCAATCAGCGCGACTTATGCGCAATCACAGCTAGACTTTCGTGCCCCTAAGTAGGTCACTCAATAAGTTTTGAGATATACAAAAAGTACTCTAGATACTATTAATATTTATTTTACATCTTTCAAAATATTCTCCATCATGCTCTATATAAAGTTCCATTCGCCTAAACTAACTCTGAAAATACTTGCCAGTCTTGATCTGACATGTCGGAAATCGCTTCTTCGTAGGCAGCCATGGCTTCTTCGGCGCTTGAAAAAAACTTGCCTTTTATTTTTTCTTTGACTTTTGGGAACAAAAAGAAATCACAAGGAGCTAAGTCAGGGCTATAAGGTGGATGACTCAGAGTTTCAACACCAGATTCCTCAATAAATACTTTTGTTCTAAAGGAGGTTTGTGAAGAGGCGTCATCGTGATGCAGCTTGATTCCCCAAAGCCCGGTCTTTGGTCTTCTCTCCCGCACAGCTTGTATACCATTCAGATGACTGACCTATAATTTTCCAGCATTGACGTCGATAAATGTCCGCTCCGCGAAAAAAACTAGCCACCATTTTTTTGCCGACGTTGCGAGGTCTTTGCAGTCTTGCCGGTAACTGTCCTTCTGAGTAGAGACCCATACCGATGATTGCCTTTTATATTTGAAAGTATTTGTAAAATATAACTGATAGGCAAAATTTCTGGAAATCCAAAAAATACATAAAATTCATCCTACGGCATTTGCATAAAAGTAAAAGTATAAATAGATGATATTATTTTAAACAGCGTAGGCTACGATCGCTAGCGAATGAAAGTTGTAACGCGAGCGAGACGCATGCACATTTCTTTCAAACATCGTTGTAGCCAATATTAATGAATTCATATTTCTAACTAGCTGTTTCCCGCGACTTACCCCGCGTGTAATTTAGGGTATTTTTTGCGCGGAACCCTAATTCTTTTTCTAAAGTAAAAGTAGCCTAAGATACTCCTTATAACATCAGCTATCTGCCAGTGAAAGTCGCGTCAAAATGCAGCCATTTCGGAGATAAGCCGAAACAAACAGACAGACAAATATTTTAAAAATGTTGTTTTTGTTATAGGTACCGTATATACTTTCATATGCATTTAGTAAAAACCTGTTATTTTGACATTACAAACAGACACTTGTATTTTATTCATTTGTATAAGTAGATAATATTTTTTATGCCTAATGTATACTGCAACATCTTAAGCGTATTTAAAAGATCGAAATCAACTTATTTACAAACTACACTGATTGATATTTACAACAAATAAAAGTCTAGAGGTGTTAGGTCTGGATATCTCGCCGGCCAGTTCAAAGGTCAACCGCGTCCTATCCACCTATCACCGAATTGGCGTCTTGTTGACTTGATTGTGGACGTTGTAAATTCCCACGTGGGTAAATATCGAATCGTCGCACCGGCTAAGTTTTCACCAGATAAGACAATAAATCTCACCATTGCTAGCTACTCGACATTAGACTATTGGTACATGTTTACAATAACTATCAGCGGGCACACGACCTCACATCCCAGCTGATTGCAGGTCATTGAAATGGAAGCGCGGGCCGGGCTTGCGCCTGTGACCTTGCGAAAGGACAAGGACAAAGAGGCCTACGGGGCGAGTAGGGCGATCGGCGAGTGCGTTTACATATTCATTGTTTTATTCCCGATCGTAAAGTACACAATAATATTAGCAAATACATACACAATAATATTGGCAAAGAGTTCCATTTTCAAAATTTTAACTTATATTTTTATTATATCGTTTACAAGTGGCCAGGTCTAAAAACTTTCAGTGGCGCCTTCGTAACACAATAGTGTCCAGTCCAGACAGACATACCACGTATCCAAAAATTTTCGTTTTGCATCTGTATCTATACATGCTATGCAATAGTAGAGTATACCCTAACGCAAATTTCAAAAAAAAAATCAATGTACAGAAATCGTCGCGTTAGAGTTTTATCATAAAAATAGATAAATAGATTAAACTAGTAGTAGTAGTCGTAGATGATAATCTCGATATCGAAAGATATTTTACGGTAATGTACTGTATGGTCTAACGACTGTAAATTTGTGCTTAGACCCGTGCCATTTAGCGGGCGTGCGTTGAACTTACTTTTAACGTAACAAACTAACGAATGATTAGTAAATTATCAACAATTTGAAATTAAGAAGTTTGTACAACCGACTTCAATATAAATTATTAAGAATTACTCAAAACCATTGGTCAGATCTTGATCAAATTTATATGGGACCACATGTGAATCACCTCCTCGTGCTCTGTTCCAAAGTCCCGAATCCTTTCAGCTCGAGTTACAAAACCGTTTTCAGTGCCTAGAAGACTGCAATCAAGTGGACGATATGAATGACAAGCTCGTGGAAACTGTCCATCCGGTCGGAGCTAAGTTCTGCAAGACCGGCCGCAGAAGAATACCAATACTCTCCGATCACACTCTTAATCTCATGGCTGTAACACGGGAGATGAAGCTACATTCTTCAACAGATTTGACAGCATACAGGCAACTGAACAGACAGATCTCCAAATGCATGCGGCGGGACTTACGCAACTTCAATACAGCTTGTATTGAAAACGCTATCGAGCGGAACCAAGGCTCCAAAGTGCTTGCCAGAGATCTGTCTGCCAGAAAGAGCCAACTGTCAAAGCTGAAGACCGAGTGTGGCAGCATCGTTTCCGGGAAACCTGAGATTTTGAGTGAGAATGAGAGGTTCTATGGGCAGCTGTACACGTCATCCTTGGAGCCACACGCAAGTGTGAGTAACCATCCAAGAGCGAGTCTTATCCCACACTATTCCGAAGATTTCCCAGACGTCAGTCAGCGAGGTTAGAATGGCTCTCCAGCACCTTAAAAACGGCAAGTCCACGGATGAGGATGGAATTACAGCGAAGCTTCTGAAAGCGGGTGGAAAACCGGTACTTGAAGTCCTTCAGAAGCTCTTTAATTCCGTCCTCCATGGTGGCACTACTCCAGAGGCGTGGAACAGAAGTGCGGTGGTCTTGTTCTTCAAGAAAGGCGACAACGCTCTCTTGAAGAACTACAGACCGATTTCCCTTCTGAGCCGCGTCTACGTGCTGTTTTCGAGAGTCATTACGAATCGTCTCGCACGCAGACTTGACGACTTCCAGCCTCCCGAACAAGCCGGTTTACGAAAAGGCTTTAGTACCATATACCACATACATACCCTGTGGCATATTGTACAGAAGACAGAAAAGTGTAATCTGCGACTTTGCCTTGCGTATGTGGACTATGAGAAAGCCTTTGATTCCGTCAAAATTTGGGCGGTGCTGCAGTCCCTTCAGCGGTGCCAAGTTGACAGTCGGTATATCGAAGCGCTGAAGTGTTTGTACAGTAGAGCTACGATGGCTATCCGAGTACAGAATCAGAGTACGAAACCTATCCAACTGCCGAGAGGTGTAAGACAGGGTGACGTTATATCCCCTAAACTCTCACCGCTGTATTGGAAGACGTTTTCAAGCTACTGGACTGGAAAGGATTCGATATTAACATCAATGGCGAGTACATAACTCACCTTCGATTTGCCGATGATATAGTCTTTATGGTAGAATCGCTGGAGGACCTAAGCACTATGCTCAATGACCTCAATAGTGTCTCCCAACGGATAGGTCTTAATATGAACATGGACAAAACAAAAATCATGTTTAACGTCCATGTCACACCTATGCCGGTAGTTGTTGGGAGCACTAAGCTCGAAGTTGTTGAGTATGTTTACCTGGGATAAATAGTCCGACTAGGTAAGACCAACTTCGACCGAGAGGTCAATCGACGGTTTCAACTCGGCTGGGCAGCGTTCTGGAAACTACGACGCATCTTCTCGTTAGATATACCTCAAAACCTTAAAACGAAATTGTACAACCAGTGCGTGTTGCCAGTGATGACTTACGGATCTGAGACGTGGTCCTTCACTGCTGGCCGTATGAGGAAGCTCAAGGTCGCTCAGCGAGCTATGAAGAGGACTATGCTCGGGGTTTCTCTGCGTGATTAATTTAGAAATGAAGATATCCGCAGTAGAACCAGAGTAACGGACATAGCCCAACGGATTAGTAAGCTGAAGTGGCAATGGGCCATATAGCTCGAAGAACCGACCACCGATGGGGAAGAAAGGTTCTCGAGTGGCAGCCTCGTACCGGTAGGCGAAGTGTAGGGTGACCCTCACCTAGATAGAGTGACGACCTGGTAAGACATGCAGGAAGTCGATGGATGCAGGTGGCTCATGACCGTGCTTTGTGGCATTTCTTGGGGGAGGCCTATGTTCAGCAGTGGACTTATGAAAGGCTGTAATGATGAATGATGAAGGTCTCTCTTGTGCACTCAACAACTTTGCTACATAATATAATATCTACTTCATCATCTAAACCGTACATGGTCCTTCGAGCTGGAGCCTAAATAAAATATTAAATGTGTCTTTGCAAGACGGTTTATAAATGAGAACTGTTAAGAAATTTATTATTAAGGTTGGTTATTAATATGGTTCTTAAGGGGTAAGACCCCTTGTTAATTATATCTGTTTCTCTATACTCATCATATGAATTAAGCAGCATTATGCTGGCATTTTACGCTGTTATTGTGTCGTCGTAGTCCTTCCTCGATCACCGCCGCTTTCTGAAACAAAATATCGCAATTGCAAACATAATAAAATGCTTGTGACGTTCACAGCGCATGTGGACGTGTCGCAAGCGGCAAGCCCGCGCGTGGTGTCTGTGCAGCCGCTGCAGCCGCTGCAAGCGCTGCAGGCGCTGCGCGACGCACCGCCTCGCTGCCTGCCGCTGCCTGCTCGTGTGCTGCTCTACTGTGCGCACACGCTCGCACTCGTGCCCGGTGCGTATCCCTCCCTAGCACCGCTGCAGCTGCTGCAGCCGCTGCAAGCGCTGCAGGCGCTGCGCGACGCACCGCCTCGCTGCCTGCCGCTGCCTGCTCGTGTGCTGCTCTACTGTGCGCACACGCTCGCACTCGTGCCCGGTGCGTATCCCTCCCTAGCACCGCTGCAGCTGCTGCAGCCGCTGCAAGCGCTGCAGGCGCTGCGCGACGCACCGCCTCGCTGCCTGCCGCTGCCTGCTCGTGTGCTGCTCTACTGTGCGCACACGCTCGCACTCGTGCCCGGTGCGTATCCCTCCCTAGCACCGCTGCAGCTGCTGCAGCCGCTGCAAGCGCTGCAGGCGCTGCGCGACGCACCGCCCCGCTGCCTGCCGCTGCCTGCTCGTGTGCTGCTCTACTGTGCGCACACGCTCGCACTCGAGCCCGGTGCGTATCCCACCCTAGCACCGCTGCAGCTGCTGCAACCGCTGCAGGCGCTGCGCGACGCACCGCCTAGCTGCCTGCCGCTGCCTGCTCGTGTGCTGCTCTACTGTGCGCACACGCTCGCACTCGTGGCCGGTGCGTATCCCTCCCTAGCACCGCTGCAGCTGCTGCAGCCGCTGCAAGCGCTGCAGGCGCTGCGCGACGCACCGCCTCGCTGCCTGCCGCTGCCTGCTCGTGTGCTGCTCTACTGTGCGCACACGCTCGCACTCGTGGCCGGTGCGTATCCCTCCCTAGCACCGCTGCAGCTGCTGCAGCCGCTGCAAGCGCTGCAGGCGCTGCGCGACGCACCGCCTCGCTGCCTGCCGCTGCCTGCTCGTGTGCTGCTCTACTGTGCGCACACGCTCGCACTCGTGCCCGGTGCGTATCCCTCCCTAGCACCGCTGCAGCTGCTGCAGCCGCTGCAGCCGCTGCGCGACGCACCGCCTCGCTGCCTGCCGCTGCCTGCTCGTGTGCTGCTCTACTGTGCGCACACGCTCGCACTCGTGCCCGGTGCGTATCCCTCCCTAGCCCCGCTGCAGCTGCTGCAGCCGCTGCAGGCACTGCGCGACGCACCTCCTCGCTGCCTGCCGCTGCCTGCTCGTGTGCTGCTCTACTGTGCGCACACGCTCGCACTCGTGCCCGGTGCGTATCCCTCCCTAGCACCGCTGCAGCTGCTGCAGCCGCTGCAAGCGCTGCAGGCGCTGCGCGACGCACCACCTCGCTGCCTGCCGCTGCCTGCTCGTGTGCTGCTCTACTATGCACACACGCTCGCACTCGTGCCCGGTGCGTATCCCTCCCTAGCACCGCTGCAGCTGCCGCAGCCGCTGCAAGCGCTGCAGGCGCTGCGCGACGCACCGCCTCGCTGCCTGCCGCTGCCTGCTCGTGTGCTGCTCTACTGTGCGCACACGCTCGCACTCGTGGCCGGTGCGTATCCCTCCCTAGCACCGCTGCAGCTGCTGCAGCCGCTGCAAGCGCTGCAGGCGCTGCGCGACGCACCGCCTCGCTGCCTGCCGCTGCCTGCTCGTGTGCTGCTCTACTGTGCGCACACGCTCGCACTCGTGCCCGGTGCGTATCCCTCCCTAGCACCGCTGCAGCTGCTGCAGCCGCTGCAAGCGCTGCAGCCGCTGCGCGACGCACCGCCTCGCTGCCTGCCGCTGCCTGCTCGTGTGCTGCTCTACTGTGCGCACACGCTCGCACTCGTGCCCGGTGCGTATCCCTCCCTAGCACCGCTGCAGCTGCTGCAGCCGCTGCAGGCACTGCGCGACGCACCTCCTCGCTGCCTGCCGCTGCCTGCTCGTGTGCTGCTCTACTATGCGCACACGCTCGCACTCGTGCCCGGTGCGTATCCCTCCCTAGCACCGCTGCAGCTGCCGCAGCCGCTGCAAGCGCTGCAGGCGCTGCGCGACGCACCGCCTCGCTGCCTGCCGCTGCCTGCTCGTGTGCTGCTCTACTGTGCGCACACGCTCGCACTCGTGGCCGGTGCGTATCCCTCCCTAGCACCGCTGCAGCTGCTGCAGCCGCTGCAAGCGCTGCAGGCGCTGCGCGACGCACCGCCTCGCTGCCTGCCGCTGCCTGCTCGTGTGCTGCTCTACTGTGCGCACACGCTCGCACTCGTGCCCGGTGCGTATCCCTCCCTAGCACCGCTGCAGCTGCTGCAGCCGCTGCAAGCGCTGCAGCCGCTGCGCGACGCACCGCCTCGCTGCCTGCCGCTGCCTGCTCGTGTGCTGCTCTACTGTGCGCACACGCTCGCACTCGTGGCCGGTGCGTATCCCTCCCTAGCACCGCTGCAGCTGCTGCAGCCGCTGCAAGCGCTGCAGGCGCTGCGCGACGCACCGCCTCGCTGCCTGCCGCTGCCTGCTCGTGTGCTGCTCTACTGTGCGCACACGCTCGCACTCGTGCCCGGTGCGTATCCCTCCCTAGCACCGCTGCAGCTGCTGCAGCCGCTGCAAGCGCTGCAGCCGCTGCGCGACGCACCGCCTCGCTGCCTGCCGCTGCCTGCTCGTGTGCTGCTCTACTGTGCGCACACGCTCGCACTCGTGCCCGGTGCGTATCCCTCCCTAGCACCGCTGCAGCTGCTGCAGCCGCTGCAGGCACTGCGCGACGCACCTCCTCGCTGCCTGCCGCTGCCTGCTCGTGTGCTGCTCTACTATGCGCACACGCTCGCACTCGTGCCCGGTGCGTATCCCTCCCTAGCACCGCTGCAGCTGCCGCAGCCGCTGCAAGCGCTGCAGGCGCTGCGCGACGCACCGCCTCGCTGCCTGCCGCTGCCTGCTCGTGTGCTGCTCTACTGTGCGCACACGCTCGCACTCGTGGCCGGTGCGTATCCCTCCCTAGCACCGCTGCAGCTGCTGCAGCCGCTGCAAGCGCTGCAGGCGCTGCGCGACGCACCGCCTCGCTGCCTGCCGCTGCCTGCTCGTGTGCTGCTCTACTGTGCGCACACGCTCGCACTCGTGCCCGGTGCGTATCCCTCCCTAGCACCGCTGCAGCTGCTGCAGCCGCTGCAAGCGCTGCAGCCGCTGCGCGACGCACCGCCTCGCTGCCTGCCGCTGCCTGCTCGTGTGCTGCTCTACTGTGCGCACACGCTCGCACTCGTGCCCGGTGCGTATCCCTCCCTAGCACCGCTGCAGCTGCTGCAGCCGCTGCAGGCACTGCGCGACGCACCTCCTCGCTGCCTGCCGCTGCCTGCTCGTGTGCTGCTCTACTGTGCGCACACGCTCGCACTCGTGCCCGGTGCGTATCCCTCCCTAGCACCGCTGCAGCTGCTGCAGCCGCTGCAAGCGCTGCAGCCGCTGCGCGACGCACCGCTTCGCTGCCTGCCGCTGCCTGCTCGTGTGCTGCTCTACTGTGCGCACACGCTCGCACTCGTGCCCGGTGCGTATCCCTCCCTAGCACCGCTGCAGCTGCTGCAGCCGCTGCAAGCGCTGCAGCCGCTGCGCGACGCACCGCCTCGCTGCCTGCCGCTGCCTGCTCGTGTGCTGCTCTACTGTGCGCACACGCTCGCACTCGTGCCCGGTGCGTATCCCTCCCTAGCACCGCTGCAGCTGCTGCAGCCGCTGCAGGCACTGCGCGACGCACCTCCTCGCTGCCTGCCGCTGCCTGCTCGTGTGCTGCTCTACTGTGCGCACACGCTCGCACTCGTGCCCGGTGCGTATCCCTCCCTAGCACCGCTGCAGCTGCTGCAGCCGCTGCAAGCGCTGCAGGCGCTGCGCGACGCACCACCTCGCTGCCTGCCGCTGCCTGCTCGTGTGCTGCTCTACTATGCGCACTTGCTCGCACTCGTGCCCGGTGCGTATCCCTCCCTAGCACCGCTGCAGCTGCCGCAGCCGCTGCAAGCGCTGCAGGCGCTGTGCGACGCACCGCCTCGCTGCCTGCCGCTGCCTGCTCGTGTGCTGCTCTACTGTGCGCACACGCTCGCACTCGTGCCCGGTGCGTATCCCTCCCTAGCACCGCTGCAGCTGCTGCAGCCGCTGCAAGCGCTGCAGGCGCTGCGCGACGCACCACCTCGCTGCCTGCCGCTGCCTGCTCGTGTGCTGCTCTACTGTGCGAAAACGCTCGCACTCGTGCCCGGTGCGTATCCCTCCCTAGCGCCAGTTATACAAGAGATACATCACTTACAAGCCTTACTCATTGTGTGTGTTAAATGTTAACACTAAAACGAAATAGCAATGTGTGTGGTGCCTGACTAAGAAGAAATCCTGTCACCTCGGTTCATTTTCTGGCTGTCATGATATGTGGCTATAGAAAATGACAACAGTTTTGTCGATGGACAGCGTTATAGTAGTTTCGTTTATTCCTACTAATGAGAAGGCCTTTGTTCTACTAAAGATTTTTACAAACTTGATAATGGTTAACAAGATATATATTAAAAATTAAAAGTAACACAAAAGCATGTTTTTGATGGCATTATAAATCTTAAAATATTATCTGGTTTGTGAAATATTAAAGCTATTAATTTTACTGGATTTATATAATATATAACGGCAACCAGTTGCGTGTTTCATTAAATTATAACCCTACCTACCTATACCTAGAATGTTCTTTGTCTCTTTTTGGGTATAAAAAGCTTCGATTACTATTAGTGATCAAAGTTATAAATGCAGAAAAGGAACTTCATTCCGTAACTTTGAAATGAATGCCCTTTTCGGTCTCTCAGGCGCGGGCAGCAGCGAAAAGGCGGAGTGCATCTCGGTGTCGTCAGAAGGCGACCGCATCCTGGGCGCGGCGCTGTGCGAAGGCGTGCCGCTCGTGTTCAGCCGCAGGCACGGCGTGCTGGCGCTCGCCGCCCAAGGATGCCCCGGGTCAGTCCACGCACCACCGCACCGCCACCTGCTGCCACACACCGCGACCTGCCGCCACACACCGTCACACATAACCACACACCACGACCTGCCGCCACACACCGTCACACATAACCACACACCGCGACCTGCCGCCACACACCGCGACCTGCCGCCACACACCGTCACACATAACCACACACAACCACACACCGCGACCTGCTGCCACACACCATCACACACAACCACACACCGCGACCTGCCGCCACACACCGTCACACATAACCACACACCACGACCTGCCGCCACACACCGTCACACATAACCACACACCGCGACCTGCCGCCACACACCGCGACCTGCCGCCACACACCGTCACACATAACCACACACAACCACACACCGCGACCTGCTGCCACACACCATCACACACAACCACACACCGCGACCTGCCGCCACACACCATCACACATAACCACACACCGTGACCTGCCGACACACACCGTCACACATAACCACACACCGTGACCTGCCGCCACACACCGTCACACATAACCACACACCGTGACCTGCCGACACACATCGTCACACATAACCACACACCGCGACCTGCCGCCACACACCATCACACATAACCACACACCGTGACCTGCCGCCACACGCCATCACACATAACCACATACCGCGACCTGCCGCCACACGCCGTCTCACATAACCACACACCGTGACACATAACCACACCTTGTTACTTACATCCACACACGGTGACACATGCCCGCACTCTGTGATATATATCCACCCACTGCCTTACACACACACACACACACACACACACACACACACACACACACACACACGCACGCACGCACGCACGCTCGCACGCACGCACGCACGCACGCACGCACGCATGCACTCACGCATGCATGCATGTACACGTACTGTGTTACATACCATATACTGGGGCACAGTCATATTCCATGACATATTATCGCGACAAATAAACAGTCCGTGACACACATGTTATTATATAATATGTAAACGTTCGTGCAGCTCACTCTAATCGACTGCTTTTACGATATTATTTATGACTTTGCAGGTCGGTGTGTGATAGTGCAATGAGTTCGCCGAGTGCGTCTGATATGTACGACGGCAATTTGACCATGTATGAAATAGACCCACACGAGGTAAGTGTTGTTACATACTACATGTAACTTTTACTATTTATCGGTTTCAGTATTATTTTTATGATCTCTTTTAGGACGATTTAAATTATTTTCTATGTTTATATTATAAATTTCATGTAACTTCCAGTGTGTTCATATTTTTTTTTGTCGTAATTAACATAATTGAATATTGAATAAAACTGTTTTATGGTTTTTATCGTGTTTAAATTTTATTTTATTTTATGTGTAGTATTCGAGTAAATATAAGAAATCAAAATTGAATATTTCGAAAATCACATCGAATCAAAGTTCCTTTTATTTACTTTTAAATTCTCTCCTTTTATGGTTTTCTCTAAACTTGTCTAAAGTAATATTTTAAATGCCGTCAAAAACATAACTTGTAAAAAAACCAAGTCTCGCAACTCAGTTCTTCTACCGTAAAAAGTTGTGAGATCCATGTAATACCAAGTCGGTTAATTTATTCAGTCCTTACTTAAGGGTCCTTCTGTCTTAACTTATTACGTAATTAGTTAAACTAAAAACATCTTACAGTGACCATATCAATATTCAAAATCTTTTATGTTTTAAATAAATAGATTGACTTGGCAATTGCACTAAACAATCTAATGATCATGAAAACACAATGTATCTCACAAGTAATACATACTATATAACATTAACTTCCAAAAACAATTAACCGGGCCACGCCTTCGAAATGGAATGCGAGCATCAAATTCCAGGCCGTCAGTCCACTCGGCGTGCGCGCACGCATCCGCGTCACACAAGCAAATTAAATATTGCAAAATGCACTTCAAAACGCAATCACTATACAAATTGACGTAAATTACTTGCAAACGAAGTTACTGTAATCACTCAAATTCAAGAACAAACCCCTCGTCGTTACTTAGACGTACTAACAAAAAAAACCACACGAATTAGAGGCTTCCTTTTACACGTGACCTCGCAGTTCAACCGGACAAAACGACTGCATTCGAGGCGGTCTTAATTAGACCCGAATATTCAATAGGAAATTGAAAAGGGCGCGTACAATTAACCCAAATTTTCAAATCAAAACACCGGCCGCGCACAACCTACTAACGGTCGCAAAACAATACTATACGATGGCCCATACGCCGAGCTACTGTCGTGGCGCTCGACGCCTCGGCAAAACCAGTCCCGTTAATCGCCACATCGGGTGACCGGCCGTGAGCGGGGGAACGCGCGCGGGGAAGAAGGCCCGGCAGCGATCCCTGTTACCATCGGACGCGAGCGCTCGTAATGCAGTTTTAAAAATTAACATTTAGCGCAAACAAACCCCCGTCCCGGACATAAGGACTTATGTCCGCGAGTAAATTGGTAAACAGGATAGTGTCGCGACGGCACGTTGCAAGACCGAATCTCTAACCAAAACCTCGGCCACCCTAGGCACCCCATCAGATCTTACAACCGTAACCACCGCCTCAAAATACCGCCCCAATGCGGGCAAGCCGGAGGGTCGAACCTCCACTGGATGCCCCCCCTGGACATCGCAGCACCCAAACACTACTGGACACGTTACTGGACAGAAGTCCGACGACCTCCTTCAATTATCTATCCGATTTCTATTCATACTTCTACTCGCCCCGGTGTACGCGCACAATTAATCTATATCCAACATGAAGCGATTTCCTCTCGGGTCACACTTTTTAGCGTTTCAAACTCAAAAGGGCCTCTTGTCACTTAAAGCACGAAAGACAATCAATAAGAGGCGTTTGTCACGAGGCCGAGCGCTTCGCACGTTACCGTCATACTTTAAGACTAGCCTCGTTATCACGAAAAACAAATTAAGATAACACCGTAGGAGGCACGCGACGGACCGTCGCACCACAATTTCTTTTCCCATACTAGTAGCTTTTCCAAACATGCAGTTCTATGCTTATGCTACATCCAAGCCTCAAAACATCAATACTCAAAACTTCTATGCAAAACTTGAAAAAAAAAAACTGTAACAAACTTATTGCCCGATGCGCATAGATCAAAACATAAATTAAGCAAAACGATAAACACAAAAGATAACCATATTCTTTTTTTTTTTTTCCAAAATAAATATCTTCGACAATGCCAACAAAATGCGAAAACAAAAAGGGGATTGATTTTTATTTCCTTCGGCACAAACAGTTGCTCAATTTAAATTTTCTTTTCAACAAGCAAACATAATGATCAAATATATTTACAAAAACATATGTACACGTGTTCCAAGAGTATATCAAATTCACCTTTTTACTCACAACCGCTACAACTGCGAAACATTTCGCGGAAAAACCAAAGCAATTTTTTTTTCAAGCATTCATATCTCCAGGTGAGCGCTAGTCTCTCCACCAACCAAGTGGAAGCCACACCGCGTTTGAACCCGAATCCAATAGAGCGCGAACGGTTAAACAATCGCCACTCGGGTTGTACACCTTCACGGAGGCCGTCGGCAATAGAACAGTTTGAAAAGTGGACTGTTGACGGCTCAAGAATCAGTGGAGGCGGCTGTGGTGGGAGCTAGGGCGGCAGCTACCTAGCTGGGGCTGCTTCCATCAAAGTGGGGACGGTGGTACCCCTGTCGCGGCCACTTAGCTAACGGGGGTGAGAAGGCCTAGCTGACCGCTGAGTGGCTGTGAAGTTCTTCCCAACACGCTGAGGGGGGGGGGGGGGACGACGTAGTGTGTACAATGTAACCTGACTTGACCGTTGAAATCTGACCGCAGATCCAGAAGCACTGCTTCTTTCCAAAAGTCAGATCTCTCAAGGGGGGCCCAAAGGATCACCAATTGAAAACTTCTGCTTTTATATCAATGTATTAGTTTATCAATTTTATTGTATATTTAATTAGCTTCAAAGTCAACCAAATCAACGTTCATAGAAATTAAAACAAGTGACACACGACACAAGTAAAGAATAGTCGTTCAAAGTTCAATATTCCATGTTCCGGATTCACTTAGCACAGAATTACAAATACGGGAACGAACGCGGTCTCTTCTCGAATCTCAAAGTTCAGCGTTACACACGACAAACAAAATTCTTTCGTACGATATTAAAATGCCACGCCTGCAATCAGAACTCAAAATCAGCCTCGTTGACTAGTAAAACTAACTAAAATAGTCAACACAAAAAAGGCACTTAACGCGACGTTACAATTCTACATTAACTTCCAAAAACAATTAACTAGGCCACGCCCTCGAA